TGTTATGGTTGTTGTTGTTGTTGTTGTTGTTGTTGTTGTTGTTGTTGTTGTTGTTGTTGTTGTTGTTGTTGTTGTTGTTGTTGTTGTTGTTGTTGTTGTGGTGGTTGTTGTTGTTGTTGTTGTTTTTGTTGTTGTTGTTGTTGTTGTTGTTGTTGTTGTTGTTGTTGTTGTTGTTGTTGTTGTTGTTGTTGTTGTTGTTGTTGTTGTTGTTGTTGTTGTTGTTGTTGTTGTTGTTGTTGCTGCTGTTGGGCTGTGGGTGCCATGGTTGACTTCGAAACAACTTTGTCCCTAAAACAGGGAGCGCTGGGCAACTGGACTTGCATCTGATGAACAACCCTTGGCGACCCCACGTGCTCGGCTTTCTTCTTCTTCTCGCTGGCGGTATGCCTGCCAAAAAAAGGGCTATGGGAGGGGCGCACTGATAAAGTAAAGCCACCAAAAGTCGACGATACCTCAAAGCATAGGGGATGACCAAGGCCAATCCCTGCATCAGGCTTGGGCTGGGGCGCCCAAGTCTAGAATTTAAGTCGTGATGGATGCCCGAGCCGTGGGCTCATGCCAGGCTGCATGCACGCCAAAACCCGTTCTGAGTCTGTATGACAGCATGAAGCTCGCGCAGCTGCTAAGCTGGCAGCATGCCCCGCTAGTTTGTCTCTCGCACTGCATGGGGAAACCAAGGGTAAACACCTAGCATTGCTTAAGCCTCTTGAAAAGAGTAAGAACACATTTCCAGCAGTGATAGCTTCCCTTGCAGACCAAGCGAAGGAACATATAACATAACACATTCTGAAACGCATAATGAACGAGTCCATTCCGAAATGGGGCCCATAGACAATCCTGCACGTTCTCGCTGGAGGAATAGTACTTCATAAGCAGCAGAACATGGTTGATTCTATGGGATAAGTCCACCTCAGGAAGCGAGTCCCATGAAAGCCGGACAAGTCCAAATCTGAGACTCGGAGGTCGCATTTCCTGCCTCTGCCGCCTGCTCCCGCATGGACTCGGCGACCCGCTCCCGCTCTTTGTCCCCCCGGCGCTGGTAGCCCTCCTGTGCCCCCCCCACCTCCCGCCCCACTGGGAACCCAAAAACATACACACCCCTCAAGAGGGAGACTGAAATGGACTGAAGCTGGCAGTGTGGGGGGGGGGGGGAGGGGGCTGGGGAGTGGCAGAGGGCAGTTGCATGATAGACCGTATGAACTCACATAAAGAACCTGGAAGGATGAACCAAAGGGCCTACCGAGCAGGAAAATGGTTCAAGCATGCAAACGTGGTCCTGGCATTGGGCCCCCTTTTTTTCCAAATGAATGCACCTCCCAATGGTACCAATATGAAATAGAAAGAAACTAAAAAGATAAAATGCCACTAAAGGGTTCCCGAGGGAGGTCCCCATCTTTGAGGGGACCCAAGGACATAACGTGGGTGGGAGAAATCTAAACCAATTCGCTCAGCGTGTCTCAATTCACAACTTGAAGGCGCAATGGACAATAACATATGCGGTTTGGGGCTTGGCGTGTGGTTCTGGAAAATGATGCTTATCAATGGGGGCATTTACTTAGTGGTGAAGATCGCATGCATTTTGCGAGTGACAGTGGCACCATGCCCAAAGTGCAGCATGCAAAACAATCCGATCGCAGGGTCACATCTAGTCTAGTACTTGGTTTTTCCCCATGACCCGCCCACAACAATGAGAATTGGATATTTGTAGCTCGCAGCGAACAAGTTCAATGACCCAAAGAACAAATGGCCCCCACTCGAGTCATTTGGCGTTGATAGCTGCCTTTTTGACCTAGGAGGATGCAATGCCTTTACTGCCTTTATAAAGAAATGGAACGCCATGCAAAGCGGACAAATCAGCCTGCCGCAGACCAAAGCTGACCAACGCCCGTCCTGGTCATTTGCCTGCGGTCAGCAAGCGGCAAAGCGACCAAAGACTTTCACATCTTGTGGACAACACCTGCTAAAGTTAAAGGAACCACTGTTTACTTTGGACTAATCCAGACAGCACTCAAGGGTGGCAAAACGGTCCCTCTGACTTGTAGGGTCCTTGGTCCGAGGTTACTTAACATTACTAGGTTGACCAGCTGGTGTAAACTCCGGAGTTCGCGAGCAAGGGCCTCAAGAAAGCGAGAGGGGACAGCGTGGGACGAGTCAAAACGGAAGAATATGGGTCAGAAGGCAACAACCTCTTTGGAGGCTTCCCTGATTTGGAGACAAACCCACAGGGAGAAAGGGGCCAGGAAGACAAGCTCAAAGCAAATCTCTCAGGAGAGCGGAAAGAGAAGAGAGCAGCAAGCGGAGCCAAGGAGAACCTCACTTGGCCCACAAAGAGACTTTCCCATCCAGGGAGTGAGGAACAGCACAAAGCAGACCGGACACATTGGGAAGAAGGAGAAACAGATGATGACAGACACTATGACGCCCCAAGCTAACGCAAGGACAACTCCCGCTCTCACAGCCAGCTTTTGTGATAAAGTATTTTCGGTTGCTCCCATTCGACTCCTTCAAAAAGTAGAACAAGTTGGCCGCTTGTCAAGCCTTGCAAGCTGCAAGGCCAAATAGGATAAGTTCTCCCGAAGAGGCCTTGAATGAAGCAACCTTGCGGATAAATGTTCGGTGATACCTCCAAAGGTGAACGGTCCCGTCTACAGGGGATGCCCCTAACAACAGAACAAGAGTTGTTTCTGGGTAAGAGGTAACGCTTCACGCAACCTTGCGGAAAAATATTCGGTGTTAATTACTTCCAAAGGTGAACGATCCCGTCTACAGGGGATGCCCCTAACAATAAAGCAAGAGTCGCTTCTCAGTAAGAGGTAACGCTTCACGCTGCCTGCGGATAAATATTCGGTGTTACCTCCGAAGGTGAACGATCCTGTCTACAGGGGATGCCCCTTAACAAAAAAGCGAGGCTTCTGGGTAACAGGTAACGCCGCTTCACGCAACCTTGCGCTTAAATATTCAGTGTTACCTCCGAAAGTGAACGATCCCGTCTACAGGGGATGCCCTAACAATAAAGCAAGAGTTGTTTCTGGGTGAGAGGTAACGCTTCACGCAACCTTGCGGATAACTATTTGGTGTTACCTCCAAAGGTGAACGATGCCGCCTACAGGGAATGCCCCTAACAATAAAGCAAGAGTTGTTTCTGGGTAAGAGGTAACCCTTCACGCAACCTTGCGGATAAAAAACATCTGTGTTGCCTCCGAAGGTGAATAATCCCGCAGGGGATGCCCCTAACAATAAAGCAAGAGTTGTTTCTGGGTAAGAGGTAACGCTTCACGTAACCTTGCGGAAAAATATTCGGTGTTAATTACTTCCAAACGTGAACGATCCCGTCTACAGGGGATGCCCCTAACAATAAAGCAAGAGTCGCGTCTGAGTAAGAGGTAACGCTTCACGCTGCCTGCGGATAAATATTCGGTGTTACCTCCGAAGGTGAACGATCCTGTCTACAGGGGATGCCCCTTAACAATAAAGCGAGGTTTCTGGGTAACAGGTAACGCCGCTTCACGCAACCTTGCGCTTAAATATTCGGTGTTACCTCCGAAAGTGAACGATCCCGTCTACAGGGGATGTTCCTAACAACAAAGCAATTCTTATGGGTAAGAGGTAACCCTTCACGCAACCTTGCGGATAAACAAAGCCGTGTTGACTCCGAAGGTGAACAATCCCGTCTACAGGGGATGCCCCTAACAATAAAGCAAGGTTTCCGGGTAAGAGGTAACGCTTCACGCAACCTTGCGGAGAAATATTCGGTGTTAATTACCTCCAAAGGTGAACGATCCCGTCTACAGGGGATGCCCCTAACAATAAAGCAAGAGTTGTTTCTGGGTAAGAGGTAACGCTTCACGCTACCTACGGATAAATATTCGGTGTTACCTCCGAAGGTGAACAATCCCGTCTACAGGGGATGCCCCTAAAAATAAAGCAAGAGTTGTTTCTGGGTGAGAGGTAACGCTTCACGCGACGTTGCGGAGAAATATTCGGTGTTACCTCCGAAAGGTGAACGATGCCGCCTACAGGGGATGCCCATGACAATAAGCAAGAGTTGTTTCTGGGTAAGAGGGTAACCCTTCACGCAACCTTGCGGATAAGTATTCGGTGTTACCTTCGAAGGTGAACAATCCCGTCTACAGGGGATGCCCCTAACAATAAAGCAAGAGTTGTTTCTAGGCAAGAAGAAACGCTTCACGCAACCTTGCGGATAAGCATTCGGTGTTACCTCCGAAGATGAACGATCCCTCTACAGGGAAGCCCATAACAAAAAAGCCAGAGTTGTTTCTGGGTGAGAGGTAACGCTTCACGCAACCTTGCGGACAAATATTTGGTGTTACCTCCGAAGGTGAACGATCCCGTCTACAGGGGATGCCCCTTAACAATAAAGCAAGGTTTCTGGGTAAGAGGTAGCGCTTCATGCAACCTTGCGGAGAAATATTCGGTGTTACCTCCAAAGGTGAACGATCCCGTCTACAGGGGATGCCCCTAACAATAGATCAAGAGTTGTTCCTGGGTGAGAAAAAACGCTTCACGCAACCTTGCGGAGAAATAATCGGTGTTACCTCCAAAGGTGAACGATGCCGCCTACAGGGGATGCCCATGACAATAAGCAAGTTGTTTCTGGGTAAGAGGGTAACCCTTCACGCAACCTTGCGGATAAGTATTCGGTGTTACCTCCGAAGGTGAACAATCCCGTCTACAGGGGATGCCCCTAACAATAAAGCAAGGTTTCTGGGGATAAATATTCGTATTACTTACCTCCAAAGGCCGTCTACAGGGGATGCCCCTAACAAAAAAGCAAGAGTTGTTTCTGGGTAAGAGGTAACGCTTGACGCTACCTGCGGAACAATATTTGGTGTTAACTCCGAAGGTGAACAATCCCGTCTGCAGGGGATGCCCCTAACAATAAAGCGAGGTTTCTGGGTAACTGGTAACGCCGCTTCACGCAACCTTGGGGATACATATTCGGTGTTACCTCCGAAAGTGAACGATCCCGTCTACAGGGGATGCCCCTAACAATAAAGCAACTCAACCTTGCGGAGAAGTATTCGGTGTTACCTCCAAAGGTGAACGATCCCGTCTACAGGGGATGCCCCTAACAAAAAAGCAAGGCTTGTGGGTAAGAGGTAACGCTTCACGCAACCTTGCGGATAAATATTCGGTGTTAATTACCTCCAAACGTGAACGATCCCGTCTACAGGGGATGCCCCTAACAATAAAGCAAGAGTTGTTTCTGGGTAAGAGGTAACGCTTCACGCTACCTTGCGGATAAATATTCGGTGTTACCTCCGAAGGTGAACGATCCCGTCTACAGGGCACGCCCGGAACAATAAAGCAAGGTTTCTGGGTAAGAGGTAACGCTTCACGCAACCTTGCGGAGAAATATTCGGTGTTACCTCCGAAAGCGAACGATGCCGTCTACAGGGAATGCCCCTAACAATAAAGCAAGTTTTATGGGTAAGAGGTAACGCTTCACGCAACCTTGCGGAGAAATATTCGGTGTTACCTCCGAAAGCGAACGATCCCGTCTACAGGGAATGCCCCTAACAATAAAGCAAGTTTTATGGGTAAGAGGTAACTTTTTACGCAACCTTGCGGATAAATATTCGGTCTTACCTCCAAAGGTAAACGAA